GTTCATTTTGAGTTCAAGCAGGGAGCTGGTGCAGAGACTGGGCACACAGGTGGAGGTGAGGACGGCCTTCATCACGGAGGAGGAGGAGAGGGGTTTCCTACGGGAGTTGGAGCCAGGTCTGAAGAAAAAACGCTACGAGTTCGACCACTGGGACGATGTGAGCCATGTTCATAAGTTTTCTATAGGCTCATTAGTTACGTCAGGTCTGCGTAAGTTCTTGTATGTTTTCATATAAACAGCTCGAAACACCTTTTACTTCCTAACTATTTACTAATGATCATTTTTTATCCCCAGTTCTGTGACTCTCCTGTGTGTAGTCCTTGTGTATTATATACATGAGTCACAGAGCTGAAACCCAAAAAATAAGGAAATAATATATTTATTTCCTCTTCCTCCCAAAGTTGAAGAGGTGCATTTAACAATTTTAATGAGATATACAAACTAGTGAATTCTTGGGAATGAAATTTTAATTGTGATGTAAATAATTGTACTTTCTGTGTGTGCCCAGGCCACGAATGGCAGTAATTAAATTTGTTACAATCAACTCATAAAATCATAAATTAGGCAAGGTGATATAAGGCTTTAGGCCTATAACCTCATAGGCTGAGAAATAATTTCTGAACATCATTTCACAAAACCTTTGAGTCAAAGTTGTCAAACAAATTCACACTCTAAATATTTGCCAGCCTGTTAATCTGTCACTCTACACTTGCAAAGGTAGGTCATGACAGTGATGCTGGCTTTATTTGTGCTTCGTTCACTTATCCACATGTAGGCTATTCATGGGTACCGAGAGACTGAACGTGTAAGGTGGGGGGCAGCGTGTGAGGAGGTCTTGAACCGTGTCCGGTCTGTAGCATTTCCTGAGGGTAGCCCACTCCTCAGGCCTGTGCACGTTCTAGATCTGGACAAGACTGGCTACATCAAGCCTCACATGGACAGTGTCAAGGTGGGGTTCTCTCTCTCTCTCTCTCGCTCTCTCTCTTCTCAGTGTACATTGGCTTCAGGATATGCATGCTTGTGAAATAAAACCGACAGTCACAAATGTTAGACCTTAAGACAGTGAGACTGTTTGTGTTGCTGTTATCTCTGCTCTTGCTGCCATTTTGACTGTCCGTCTTCTATTTTTTCAGTTTTGTGGCAGCACTATTGCTGGGGTGTGTCTTCTGTCAGACAGTATCATGCGCTTGGTGAAGGAGGACTGCAAGGAGGAATGGCTGGACCTCCTGCTGCCCCAACGCTCCCTGTGTTAACTATTGATGGTGCTGGACTGTATGGATGCCTGACATAAATGCACCAGACGACGGTGCCTACCTATAATAAATCAAATAACAATAATGGGGATTTGCTTCGCATAGTACGAACACCCCCTTTTTCAGTCAGAACGAAGTCTAATGCCAATCTGTTCTGATACAACATAAGAGAAGTGGCTGCCAGTTGCTCCTGAAACCTAACAACTAAATTTCTGGTAAGATTAGTGAGGTTAGTAAGATTAGTAAGACACTGAACATTAAACTAGACATAGGACAGTATACAAATATATTTATCAAATTGTCTTAATTGCTCTCGCTGTGGCCACACAGAGCAGTCAAGAATGTCACATGCATCTATCATTAAAGTGGAAGTTTTACCCAAATCAAAAACCAACTCGAGTGGAATCAGGAATCATTAGCTCTTTTCGCATGGTGTATGTGGGACCTTGTTTCCCACCACAATATGGGTACCACTATAACTAGGCTAATGAGGCCCAGTACACACACAAGCGTACCAAGAAAACTGTCTAAATATGGAAGCAAAACGGCATCATAATGATTTGAATTTATATCATTGTCTGAATAATAGGTTTTGAAATATTATACATTGAATTCTATATTCTGAGTTAATGCACTCTGAATTTTACGCAGTGAAATTACAAGTAGAGATTTTCAAGTTAGAAAAATACATAATTTAGATTTCAAACCACGCCAATATTATTAAAATAATTCAAATATAAAAATGTACGTCTAATTTTCAAAAAATATATTCAATGCGTTTCTTTCAAGAAGCACTATTCAGAACCAGAAAGTTCAATCAACTCATAATTCAGACTGTGACATTCAGGTGCAGAAATTCAAAACAACATCCGGGACACTGGGCAGTAGCAATCGAG